ATAGTGTGCATAGTTTCTGAAAAGAAGTCTAATTTCATTCTTATCCTTGTTTCTCTGTAACTAAGATTTTTGCTCCCTAGCTTTTTTGAAAATATTATCTTTGATTTCTTCAGGTTTGAATGTAATATTTCTAGCTGGAGTCTTTGTTTGAAGATCTCTGATCATTCTGGGTGTATGATTTGGTGATTAGCATTACTTTTGGGAAAAATCTCAGTCATCATTATTTCACTTATTCTTTTCTGGTCCATCCCTTCTTCTCCCTCATGTATTTCCATTATATATACATAACGCCTTCTGTAACTGTCCCAGATTCCTTCATTTCTGTGCCTTCTTTCTTGTTCTTTTTCTATTTGCATTTCAGTTTGGAGGTCTGGTAGGCATCTTTACAAGATCACTGCTTCTTTCCTGCAGTTTTCCATTGTATAAAGGAGCCATCCAAAGAAATTTGTCACCTCTGTTGTATTTATTTCATATTAATTTCTTAATTTTCCCTTTTAGTTCTTTCTTAGAGTTTCTCTCTCTGTTTACATTTTTTCTGTTCTTGCATGTTGTCCACTATTTTCATTAGAACAGTTAACATATTAATCATAATTGTTTACATTTCTGGTGTGATAATTCAACATATATGCTACTGAATTGGTTCTCTTGTTTGTCTTAGCTCATGAAAATGTATGTCTCTAAATCTTTAGTATATCTTTTAAATTTTTATTCAATGCTAGACGTGATGTATTCTAAAAAAGGAACTGAGGTAAATAAGCATTTAGTGAAAACTCTGACCAGAGTTTTGGTTGCATTTTCTTTTTGCTGTAGCTGTCATTTGCTAAAATATCTTTAGTGTCCTTGATTTTTGTCTTCATGACATTTTTAGGTTACTGTAGTGCTTCTTTTTAAAAATTTTTGAAACTTGCAGTTCCTTCCATCTAGTCCACTGTTATTACACAGGAGTCTTCTTATAGTGGTATGTTGAGCGTAGTTTAAATATTCTCTAGTCCCTACATCAAGTTAAAGAGCTTCTGTACAGCAAAGGAGACATTACTAAAAACAAACAGACAGATCACTGATTGGGAAAACATTTTCTCACACAAAAGTAGTGATAAAGGACTGATCACAAAAATATACAGAGAACTGATGAAATGAAGTAAACAACCCCATCAAAAAATGGGCAGTAGAGCTAAAAAGACACTTCTCCAAAGAGGAAATGCAGATGGCCAACAGGCATATGAAAAAATGTTCAACATCACTCGTAATAAGGGAGATGCAAATTAAAACCACAATGAGATACCACCTCACCCCAGTGAGAATGGCACATCTTCAAACAACTAGCAACAACAAATGTTGGTGAGGATGTGGAGAAAAAGGAACTCTCCTGCATTGCTGGTGGGAATGCAAACTAGTACAACCACTATGGAAAACTGTTTGGAGGTTCCTCAAACTGCTAAACATGGAGCTTCCCTATGACCCAGCAATCCCACTCCTAGGTATCTACCCAAAAGACACAAAAACACTGATTGAAAAAGATACTTGTACCCCCATGTTTATTGCTGCTTTATTTACAATTGGAAAAACATGGAAGCAGCCCAAATGCCCAAAAGTAGATGACTGGATAAAAAAGATGTGGTACATATATACAATGGAATATTACTCAGCAACCAAAAAAGAGAAACACATGTCTTTTGCAGCAACTTGGATGGAGCTGGAAAGATCATGCTTAGTGAGATAAGCCAGAAAGAGAAAGAAAAATACCGGATGGTTTCACTCATAGCAGGAGTATAATGGACCAGGCGAGAAAATAACAAAAATAATGAACAACCATATACCAGAGACATTTTGTGGGGGTGGAGTGAGGAATGGGATCAAAAATGGGGGGTGAGAGAAATGCACGGGATTATGGTGATGGCACATGGGTGACTTGGTGATGGGGATTACAATTGAGATGGAAAAAAAATGTACAAAATGATGTAAAAATAAACTTTTGTAATAATAAAAAAAAATTCTCTAGTCCTACGACTTGTTCTCAGTATTTTAATGAGCCCTGTGTCACTGAGCTGTGACCTTCTGTGGTATAATAAAGATATTCTGTCTATGGTTCCTAGCAAAAGCTCCTAAAACTTTTGGACTTTCTGAGTGATGAGGGTGATAGAACAGTTTCTGTTCCAATGAGATGATTGTGGGCCCCTACATAGCTTTAGGATGGAGGTTGGTCCCAGGAAGACCAAAACCTTTACTAGAGGCTTCCCAATGCCAACCTCACCAATAACCAATGATTCAATCAGCTGTATCTGCGTAAGAAAACTATCAAAACCCTTCAACCTCAGGATTCACAGAGATTATGAGTTAGTGAACACATCGGTGTTTGTACCAGGAGGAAGATATGTCTGGAGAACACATGAAAGCTCCATATATCCTTCATCCCCTTACCCTGTACATCCTTTCCATTTGGATCTCATTCCCCAAGCTAGAAGTTTTTGGTTGTTATTACTTTGGGGGCTTTTATGGAAGCTCCATTACATAGGTATGATTAGTTAAACCATTGGCCATTGGCAACTGAATTCCATTTCTAGTCCCTCTCCCCTTTTCAGGAAATTGGGGATGGGACTGAAAGTTTCACCCTCTATTCCATCTCAGTTTTTCTGACAACCAGCCCCCAAATACAGGTGTTTTCCAAAAGTTATTTTCATTAATGTAGACACATTATGAATAAAAAAACCTCCATTTAAGTTTTTATGGCTCTAATGCCTTGACAGTAGCTGAGGACAGCAGGCCAAATAATATGAAAAAAGATGCTCCCATTGCTGTAATAACTCACAAAATTTCAAGCACTCTGTGACTTGGGAGCCAAATATATATGAAAACTATATTAAGTCAGCTGAATAACCAAAAGTAGGTAGGTAGATAAGTAGGTAGATACATACATACCTACCTACATACATATATACATACTTCTTATAAATCACAATAAATTTACCCTATAGCAAAAACCTGGGTGTCCTACAATGTTAATACATTCTGCCCCATCCACCTAGATAGAGTGTGAGGTCCAGAGTTGAGAGGCTCAGTCCCACAAGACTGCCCCCACCCCACTCAGACTCTAGTCACAGGTAGCAAGGCCCCAGGTTATCCATGCAAGTTTTCTGTAAATCAGAAGTTTCCATGACCCCCTTTGTAGGTTTAATTAATTTGCTATGGTAGCTCACAGAACTCAGGGAAACATCCTTACCAGTTTGTTAAAGGATGTAACAAAACATACAAATGAACAGCCAGATAAAGAGATACACAGGAAAAGGTCTAAGAGGGTTCCTAGGGCAGAGACATCTGTTCATATAGCAATAGGGTGCATCACCCTTCTGGTATGTAGCTGTGTTTATTGACCTGGAAATTCTCCAAACTGCATACTATTGCAATGTTATGGAGGCTTCCTCATGTAGATAGGTTTGATCATTAACTCCATTTCCATTAATTCTCCCCTTTATGAAGGATGGGGGAGGGGTAGAGCTGAAAATTCTAAATTTCAAATCCTAGTTTGGTTTTTCTGTTGACCAGTCCCCACCTAACAGCCAGCAGGGAACCCAAGAGTCACCTCAATGCCAGAACTCCTAGTGTTTTATCACTTAGCAATTTACAAGGGCTTTAGGGATTGTGTGTCAGGAACAGAGTTAAAGGTCAACTTTTAAAACAGATGCTGCTAGTACTCTTATCATTCAGAAAATTACAAGAATTTCACCAGTTCTATGCCAGGAACTGGAGGAGCAAAAGGATAGTGTGTGTGTGTGTGTGTGTGTGTGTAAACAATTAATTAAGGACCTAATCCCACTTTTTTTCTCCTTTTCTCCCAAATGTATGTGAATTAACAAGAAAGCCTGGCTTTCTTTATCCTTTGGCACTGGCATGAAAGTCCCCTCTCTCCTCATAAACTCTAGCCCTAACACATCCACTGTAATTTCAATTAAAAAAAAAAAAACCAGATCAGGATACTTTCCTTTCTCACTCAAGCAATTTCCTACCAGTATAAGAGATTTGCTCTACCTCCATTTTATTATTAATTCCACTTGGTGTGTGTTAGTTTCTACTATTCAGCAACACCTTGGGGGTTGGGGCCACCTATCTCTATAGATTATCTAAAGGAGTCTTAGGGATCATGTTAATTCATATATGTAAAATGTAAAACACACACACCCACACAGCAATACACCTTGTTTATTTGTTCTAATGGCAGGTTTCCAGATAGATCTGGAATGCCTTTTGTTTTTAAAAAGTACAATGGTGTTTATATAACCCATTCTTTCTAAATACACACTTGAATTATTACCAGTTCTTGCCCCCCAAACATGAATGAACCATACAGGGTAAAAATATACACATTATGTTCTTACCCAAGTGTAACTACTTAAAAATTTTATCGTCAAATATATTCAGAAAAGAGGGCACAAAATGTTTTGAGATAAAATTTAATAATAACAATATAAACATCTTAAGGATCATCATCAATATCCTTAAGTAAACTGTGGGATGATAATTGAGGGTCTCCCAATGCTGTCCCACAGACAGCATCCTAACTCTACATTCTTCATATCTGTACCATGTTATTTTCCCCTTGGTTTCTTTCAGCAGATAAATAATAATGGAATTACATTAAAAATGTTTTCTAGAGATTTCTTTGCTTCAGTTTAATCATATATGCAGTGTCTGAAGATTTGGGGCCTCTGGAGGCAAAGTCTTTGGGGTCCCTTTTAAGTGTCTGCATTTGCGAAGAACCACAATTCCATAAGTAGCTTGGCAGTTTTATGGTTAAATACAAAGTCCTTGGAGAGGGCAGGCTCCAGTCCAATGCCTGGACAAGGTCGGCTCAAAGACACGACCTCCAACCTGCTGTCACTCAGGCATGAGTGGGTGTGGCCTCTCAGCTGTCCAATCAAGGAAGTCGCCAGAAACTTACGTAGGGTCAACACTCGGATGCTTGGGTAACAGTGTGGACTGCGTATTTGTCGTGTCTTGTTTTGGCCACTGGCTCTGGCAGCGCTGCAGGTCACCTCTTGCCCTCCTTGAAAGGCCGCTGGTGACTAGACATCATTTGTTGCTGTGAACTGCGCTTGCGGCAGGAGAGCTAGGATTGACGATCACGTACCCAAAAATCCGAAAAATGGTGAGTGTGTGGAGCCAGGTGTCGAAAATGGGGGCGGAAGGGCTGGTTGGAACTGGTCGCAACTGGCCCTGATGGGATCCAGTGCTTCCTGTGGTCCGTTCTGGAGTAAGAGGACCTGAGGCCACCAGTGGCGCCACCAAGGGTATCCGGCCTGATCCCTGCGTGTGGCATATTTGGCCCTGGGGTCTCCCTGAGCAGCTTTGTGGGCCCATCCCCACCCCGAGTCTCCCCAGATTGTGCCGTAACCACGGGAAGGGTCTTCAGGGGGAAATACTAACTTGGTCTTGTGGGGGAGGGGGCGCGGGTCATGTGTAGGAGGACCGTGGATCTATGCGGTCTCTAGCCCATTCTTTCTCCCCAAGGCACACTCATTTTCTGAGTTTTCTTTATGTTTGGGAAACAGGATCTCAAATTTTTTACCCTGACTCCTCTAAATTTCTAGATCTTTCCCCGAGTTCTCAAACACCACCTTCCCCTCTCCAGTTTGTAACAACATTATTAACTATTTGCCCTCCGTGTGTATATCAAGCAAACACAGTATTTTGTTTAGTATGTATCTGCAAAGACATGAATGCCTCTTTTTTTTTTTTTTCCTATGGATAGTTCACAGAATTAAGTAGTGCCTTAAACTACACGTATAAAATACTTGCCCAGAATCTTCTTTGGGCACAGATATCCCATAGGAACGCACTTGGGTGGAAATTCTTTTTTAAAGACTTTTATGAGTGACCTGTTCTTACTGTTGCTTTGTCTCCCTGAGTTTGTGACTTCTTTCACATTCCTCCAAGTCTCTGTTTTACAGTAAGTGTAAAATAAAATTTAATCAATAGATATTGAGAGAAAGTTAAAAGTATTTCCAAAGAAACCAAAGAAACAAGAAGTAAATTTCAGAAAAACAATGAAAATATACTATAATCCTTTCTTTTGGTAATATGTTTGTTTTTCTTACTTTTTTTTTTTTTTACCATAGCAGATGTAGCAGTATTTGAGGTCTGTTTTTTTATTTTAGGTGATTTGCAATCTACTGTCAGAGCTTAGGGACACACATCTACCTATGTGTTAAATTATGATTGTTTCTGAAACAAATTCTTGCCACAAAAATAATTAGCTATTATTTGTTTTCTGAAAGGAAAATATTTTTGTGGGTTTTCTTCTTGAACTAGAGAAAAAGCCTTATAATGTTCTTTCTTCTGTTGTACATAAAGACTAGGGTTATGTGATTTTGCTAGATTCTTCAAGTGCTGAGTTTGTGTATTTAAAATATTACTACTGGTGGAGAGGAACTCTGGGAAGTAGGGCCTGCAGACACTGTCTCCCTTTTGAGCTCCCTTTAAAGCCTGCAAGGCCAGTTGTTTCTTCCTCCCTCTGAAAGTGGCTCACACCTACCATGGAAGGACCTTTCTTACTTCATAGCCCTAGAAAACAGGGACTGTTCAGCAGTTGATGGAGTAACAAGCAGGATTGACATTTTTTAAGATTGCAATTTTAATCTACTTGGGTCTGTATGTATATGTAGGCTTGAAGTTGCATCCAAGGTATTGATGTGATCAGGGTATCATTTGTGCAGGTTGGAAAGCCTCTAAAGATCAGAAAGTCTGTCTGCTAACAAAAGGTTCAGGAATTTGGGAGTTACTTGACTTAGAACCTTGAACTGGAAGAGTAGAAGCCTGGGAGAAGAGGTTCTTCCCAGCTTATAAAGAGAGGAGCAAGGGTGTGGAGCTTCTCGTTGTGACTGCTGAGTATCACTGCCCTGTGTTTACAGGGACTGACCAACTTGAGAGACTTTATTTCAAAAGGAGTAATCTAAACTACAAACTTAGGAATGTGGAACTTTTTCTGAATTACAGAGAATCAGACAACTTACCTCATGCTGTTGTAAATTGAATATTGAAATGCTTAACTCTGCTTGTCATTATTCTTTCATACCTTGGCTTTAAAAATGTAAGCTGTGTGAGATAACAGTGGGAGCAGGCAAGAAATTATGGAACCAAACAATATATGTTCCTTTTGGGCAAGAAATCCTCAAGATATAAGAGGGTTTGCTTGAGTTTTCAGGTAGATTTTACATTTCTAGGTCAGTTTTTGTATCTGCATGACCTTAAATAACTTTGAAATTTTAACAGTTATAATATTATCAAGCACATGAATTTCTATTTTAATTGATAGGAGAAAAAAACTATTTAAAACTTATGAAATCTTTGAAAATCCTAATTTAATAAATTAAAACCAAATTCATAGTACATTGTAATTATACTACTCTTTCTATTGAGTAAACTACCACATTAGTGCTGACCACAAAATTCCAGCTTACCCAGGGGAAAAATTACATTAGGTCAGGTATTAAATCTCTAGTTGCTCACTTGGGACTTAACACAGGTGACTCCGATTTGGGCCTGTTGTCTCATTTTCAACAAGACAGCATGATGCCTCTTGTTTCAATTAGAATTTTGAAATTTTTCATTTTTAGGCTTTAAATATTTATAACCAGTAGCTCTTAAAGGATTAAATCTTATATAATAGTTTCATATATAGAAAAGTAAAAATTAAATTTTAAAAGCCAAAGTAAGTTGTTTGAAAACAAACAGTAAAAGGGGCCTCCCTGATAGCACAAGGGTTAAAGTCTCAGCACTATCAAGATATTGCCAGCCATTGCAGCATGAATTCAATCCCTGGCCAGGGAACTTACCTACAAGATACAGCAGACCTCTCCTGTCTCCCCTGATTCTCCCCTCAGTGGTGTATTTCAGTGGATTTGCCTGTTCTGCTCCCTACTATCTCTAATGGGTTCTCCCACACATCCAACCCCACACCTCTGGTCCACAACCCAGTTCTTGTATGCAGAAATAAATATTAAATCTTTTAAAAATAATAACAATAGGAAAATGTGACATATAAACTACTCAGTTTATTTTAAATATTAATTCATGTGAAGGTAAGTGTGTAAGATAAGAGATAAGGAGAACATTCTATTCCCCTCCATTGCTCACCCATAAGGAGTCATAATCACTTCTTGTACCTTGCAAATATTTATTTTTCTTACCCATGTTTGTCCTTATAATGAGCAGTCAGACAAAGTTGCCATCTAACCTGTGCCCTTGCCATCACCCTCCTCTGCCCCATCAGTGTGTAGGAGCTTATGTGTGCCCTGACCCACAGTAACCACCTCTATCATTTCATGTTTGCTTGAAAGACAGGCCCTGTCCTCCAACTACTATTTAATGAGTCCTAAGCCTTTTCCTCCCTTCTAGTTACATGTGCACCATACCAACTGATACCACTTCTCTGCAGGTGACCAGGTCATACTCACCTGACCTGCTCCCTGACAGCAGATTCACTGGGGACTGCGGAGCTGCTGGGGACTGCGGAGCTTGTTTTGTTTGGTTGACCTCACCAGGCCTTACTTCTTGATTTAGCCAGATTTGGCACTTGGACAATTCCTTTCCTTTGGGAGCTGGACCATGGGGTTAGGGCTCTCTTTAAGGTAGTCCTGGGTCAATGTGTGTTAAAATAAAACTGTGACCTTATCTGGGTTGTGATACAGGCCAACCATATAACAGTATTGAGGAGAGATGTCCCTCAGGTAGTCACTCCTGGTAGGGATATTTGTAAAGAGAGAACAGAGTGGGAAAGGAAGACATTAGATAGACAGAGATTGACTAATGACAGGATACCCCAGAACTTTATGTAACTACCCTGCTGTCTACTACGCATAGATATGACTGTCCCAACACCCAAGGTACCCCTGTGGCACAACCAAGAGATCCATTCAAACGACATGAGCCTGGAGTCCTTAAACTTGGAAGGAACAAATTCTTCACCCCCAAAATATGTCTTTTTGGTATAAGGAAAGACTTTGATGCAGGATGGAATGCAGAATGTCTTACAAAAGACACTTACATGGGTAAAGTATGTCCCTTTTATAGGTGTGTCCCTTTCTCTGTACAAGGAAGACCAAATATCTTTGTCTCTTACTGGGGGGAGGCAGTGTAGCAGTCTTATCATCTTTGTATACTATGCCTTTCTTGCTATAAATAACCTTGTCCTTTACCTCCCACCCCAACATCCTGTGTATTAAGCTGAAATAATTTAAGGAGATGATTTAAAACATTTTGGTGAGTTAATCAGTTTTACTGGGTTTCTCCCATACTGTTGAATATATTTTTCTTGTCAATCTGTCCCATTTGATTATATGAATGCCTCGAAAGAAGTTGCCCCCTCCTTCCCACAAACTCTTTAATTGCCATGTGGGAAGAGGACTTCCTAGCCCTGATGGAAATGATGTGAGTCCCTTTAGAGGTTTATAAAAATCAGGCTAAACAAGATACCCCCCTCCCCAAAGTATATTCAGTAATCTGAAATACAAAATAAGGGAAGGACAGGAAAGAAGAAAACAAAATACTGAAACAAAGGTCTACAACATGACTCTTGGAAATCCAAAACATAATAAGAATCTGCATAACAAAAATGACAAATGGGCACTATTGACATTGAGCACCTGTGACATACATTCCAGATTAATTTTGCTCGCTGATGTAACACACTAATTCATGAAGATAGTCAATAGTAGTGCTCAAATTTCAGATATAGCAGGAATCCCACTAAATTTAAATAAGGTACTTGTTTCTAAATTTAAACAAGGTGCCAAGTTTCCAAATATAAATAAGGGACAAATAAAAATGACCGTCTCACCTAAGTTCTCTATTGTCATAGGACTCATTGTATTAAAATCTCACTTACCAAGCAAGAAAGATCTAAACAAATGAGTTGCAAATTAAGATTTAATTTAGTCCTTTGTGCTTTCAAATTATATTCACAAAGTTGAACCCAATCCTGATCGCTCCCGTAAATTACTTAGTATGGCCCAATGTGGACTTCAAGGATTGATACCCATTTTATAATGCTTAGTTAGTAAAGTTTTAGATGTTTTTTTCCTTTTAAAAGAAAAATTTGGCCTGTTCTTAAACCTAGACATCATGAATGATACCTCACAGTCAATTTCT